AATATCGACATCATAATTCACCCTTATTCCACCATATAAATTCACCCTTATTTCACCTGTTGCGGCGTGCAACCCGATCCCACCGTACAATATCAATATCATAACATTAAGCAAAATATGTTGCGGCGCGTAACCGATCCCACCATATAATCTCAATATCATAATTTACCCTTATTCCACCATAACAGTCCACCCTTATTTCACATGTTGCGGCGTGCAACCCGATCCCACCGTATAATAACAATATCACAATATAAATATCCTCCCTTGTTTCACCACCTCCCTTATTTCACCTGTTGCAGCGTGCAACCCAATCCCCTATGCAATAATTTAGATCAACAACAGCAATTCAATAACTCAATTTACGAGAATTTCTACAATCTAGGGGATGAGTACACGGCAACAAAGGAACCACGTAAGAATTAAAGGAATACAACAACCTTTACAAAAATGACAAGACATGTAATGCACGTGATAACTAAGCATGAAATCACAACAATTTGGACAAGTAGCAGATATGCACAGAGTCATAGAAGAACTCGACAGTTAAGAAGTAACACAGCAATAAGGAAGGCAATAACTTCAACTAAGGCATATAAGGGCCAAACAATGAGTAAGAGGTACAATAAGTGCTAACAACGTCATATAGAGAATGTGAGAGTAGCCTAACAACCAGATACCTCATGTTATGACAGTTTAATCAAAGGCATAGGAAGAGACTAGACAATCTAAACCGGTTAATACCACATATAGACCGTGTACCCACTCGTCACCTTGCGTACACGGCTTTCACATAACAAGATAGCACAACTAACTCAATTCCTAAGGGGTGGTTTCCCCCACACAAAGTTAGACAAGACACTTACATCCGCTCGGCTCAATCTAGCCAAAGACGACTTAAATACATCAAACAATGCAAGAAAAAACAATTTCAATTAACAAAGCTATGATCCTTATACAATTTGAAAAAAGTCAACCTCCCGGACCCGCACCTCGGAACCCGATAAAATTTACCAAACACGAACACCCATTCCGATACGAGTTCAACCAAACCAAAATTATCAAATTCGGATACCAATTCATCCTTCAAAACATCATTTTACATTTTGAATGATATTACAATTTTCCTCAAATTTTCCTTTAGATCCTCATCAATTTGATGTTAAATCTAAGGTATAATCACAAAAATATAATTAAAAATTGACTAGAAGTACTTATCCAATGATTTGATATGAAAATTCTTCCACAAAATCGCCTCCCATCGAGGCTAGGGTTCAAAACATGAAAAAAGAAGCTATGTTTCGGAATGCTCAACTGTAAGTGATCACGCTCAACTGAGTCTCACAAAAGACTAAGCGGGCGTTGTAAATATAATCTGAGTATTATTGCCCAGAGTCGAACCACAGGGAATTAACCTATCAATTACTACTGTCGGATTCACTAAATTCACACAATCTGTTTTCCCAAACTTTCTGATTCACAATGGTTGATTTTCTAACAACTAAAGACTGAAAGTAATTTATAACTGAAATTTAACTAAACTTGATGTGTAAACAGTAGAAATAAGGTCTAAGGCAATGGTTTCCCCCGTTGGTAATTTCCTTGGTTGTATATGTCCTATAACTACGATTTAGTTGTCTCTAACAATCATGAATGCTCAAGCTATCATAATTCTTTCTCAAGGAATTATGATAATCTACTAGACGCACTCTCTCAAGCTACGCTAGCTAATTTCACAATACAGTTCACTTAGATTGCACCCGGGGTTTCGTTATCTCTAATCCAACCCCTAAACCCTCGGTTATGACTCTCGTCTATACTCCGGGAGTGATGTTGTTCATACAATCACCTAAATATGCACTCTCTCTCAAGTAGATACATAATAAATAGGAACGGATAATTGAGGGCCCTTTCAACTAATCCACAATTAAAACATAGATGAACAACTAAAGATTAACAACCAAATCCAATTATATTAATAAAACAACCAAGTCATCCCCAACGGGTTCCACCAAACCTTAGATTAAGGTTTTTAGCTACTCATAACAATGGGGAAATAAACTACTAAAAGATGCATAATCGTAAATTGCAAGAAAAATAAAGAAGAATAAGAGTAATGATGTTTTGGGTGATCTCTCACACTTGTTTTCCTTGCCAAAGTACTCTCTAAAACATTACATGCCTCCCTTGGGCGAGTTCTATTGTTTAAAATAGGGTTTTGGGCTAAGAATTTCGTGTTTTGCACTTCAGTCCCTCAATTTTACGCCTCTTGCCGCGGTCCTACCGCGGCTACGCCAGGACCGCGGCCAAATCACCTCTCAGAATCCGCAACACCTTCCTGCCGCGGTCCGACCGCGGTTACGCCGGGACCGCGGCAGTCCATCTCCAGTTCTGGTTTTGTGCATTTCGCATGGTGCACTTGGCGGATATTGTGCGATTGGCCTCTTTCGTTCATAATTGATCCCAAAAGTACTCCATAGCCTTCTTTTATTGTATGTAACATGCAAAGCATGAAAAGCACTAATCAGAGCATTTTGTTATCACTTTTACCATAAAAACTATACAAGAAAGTGGTTCTTTAGGGCTTAATTATAGTTCAATTCACCTATTATCAGTAAGCAAGCTGCAGATGCCGCATTTGCGACACTGGGTTCGCAAATGCGAACTCGCAAAAGCGAAGAATCGTTCGCAAAAGCGGAGCTTGAACAGTTCTAACGCTTTCGCAAATGCGACAGAAAATGTCGCAAATGCGAACACTGGTCTTCGCAAAAGCGACCAGTTTGTCGCAAAAGCGACCCTACCCAGCCCAGGCCTTCATTGCAAATGCGATAAAAAGTTCGCAAATGCGAACACTACAGGCTTTGCAGAAGCGATTATTTCTTCGCAAATGTGATCCCTTCCCCAGCAGCCCAGGTTCGCAAATGCGAAGACTACCTCGCAAATGCGGTAGTCGCATTTGCGACCAAAACATCGCAAATACGTTGAAACCAGAAGCAGCACTCAAAATTTTAACAAAAACAATCCGAATCCAATCCGAAACTCACCCGATCCCCCGAGGCTCCAAACCAAACACCCACAAGTCTAAAAACACAACATGAACTCGCTCGCGCGATCAAAACACTGAAATAACCTCTAGAATCACGAATCGGATGCCAAAACACATGAAAATCACAATGAACTTCAAGAACTTCTAGAATCACAACCAAGCGTCCGAACCATATCAAATCAACTCCAAATGGCACCAAATTTTGCAGGCAAGTTCCTAATGACAAAACGGACCCATTCCAAGTTCCAAACCAAAATCCGAACTCGATTACCTTAAATTCAAACTATGTCAAACCTAGGAAAATTCTAAACCTTTAAATTGCCAACTTCCGCCAAATGATACCGAAACCTTTTAGAAACATCCAAATGAAATTTCGGGCATACGCCCAAGTCCAAAATCACCATCCGGACCTACCGGAACCATCAAAACTCTGATCCGAGGTCAAATGCTCAAAAGTCAAACCTTGGTCAATTCTTTCAACTTCGAGCTTCTCAAATGAGAGTCACTCCTAAAAATCCTTTCCGAACTTCTCAAAAACCCGAACCGATGATGCACGCAAGTCATAATACACTATGTGAAGCTACTCGTGACCTCAAACTGCCAAACCGGACGCAATTGCTCAAAACGGCCAGTCGGTTCGTTACAATTACCCTTATGTACGTATTACTAAAAAGTCTTTTACTCCTCACATTAAATTATGCTGCAATATTTAATTAATGGTAGCTTAGTCACACTAACTATTTTTATCTAAAATTTAGTATTTTCTTAATGGGTGTGTCCAAGGCAAACTGGTCACTTATTATGGACCGGTGAGAGTAATTACGCAACTAAGTTATTACAGATGGCTTTCCGAACACCCTTAACCACCTTTGTTTGCGATAAGAGCCTTTTGAATTGTCTTTTTATTGTAATAACCCACGTGTCAATTAGACAATTACATACACGACAATGAACAGACATGTAATTTGACGTTGTAACCGTCACTTTATTAACGTTTGTTTTGTAAGGTTAAGAACTCTTCCCGAATTTAACGCCGTTATTTATCTTCGGTTCTCCGTTAGCCACTGAACTTATCAACATTACTTTTTTTAAAGGACGAAAAAAAAATTGAGGTAGTAATGGTTAGAGCAAAAGTGCCCAATAAAGGAAGTTGTTGATGCCACGTTGGACTAACATGAAATCTTACGTGGCATGTGACGCAAGCCACTGCCGCTTATTTTTAATCTCTTGAAAACATATGTTATAGCTTCAAGCATTTAAATAAACATTGGACTTACCCTTTTTAGATCTAACAAAAAGCAGTCCGGTGCACTAAGCACCTATTATGTGCGGGGTTCGGCGAATGGCCGGACCACAAGAATCTTTTATATGTAGTCTTACCTTATATTTTTACAAGAGGCTTTTTTAGATCTAATCTCTTTAATCCACTTTAATTATTTTTTTGGTTATTTATACATATGTTATTAAGGAATTCATTTTTTAGTATGAATTAACAATAAAATTGACCATGTGAATATATTAGTATTGTTAAAGGATATGTTGGGATATATAAAATCTATTTACTCTTAATTTTAGATCTAGAGTTCGAACTTAAAAAATAAAAAAATTATATATACGAAAATAAAATGAAAAGTTCTGCGTTTTAATTTTATCGGATTGTACTTGAAGGGACAGTGTAGAAGACACAAAAACTTTAAAAAGAAAATTCCCTCACCCAACGTTTTATTTGATCGTGTATAAACCAACCAAAACCAACCGATCCGTCTGTCCGTCCACGTGGCATCATCTTCCAAACTAGCAGAATTCATATGGGCCCACCATTTGGCAAAGAACCGGTCTTTTGGTAGTTTTTTCACCAGTGACCTGCTATTGCCAGTGTACTTACCGGTATTTACCGATAGTTCCGGTCACCGGTGTCAAAGTGTATAAAAAACTGGGGTTTTAGGCAATGTTTAGGTGGTTTTCAGAGGGGTTTTGGGCCATGAAAGAATTAATTGGTTGAAGAATTTTTTTCTGCTTTTCACAATATTTGGTTACTAAGTAAGTGGGGAAAAAATCATAATTATGTGATATTTTTGAATTCTTGATTTTCTTTTTCAGTTTTGGCTTTTGAATTTTCCTGCCATTTTCATTTCTTGCATTTAAATATTGTAAGAATAACTATGACACGGAAATTGTGGGATTATGAAGGGAATTATTGTGGATTTTCTGTAATATATATTGTAGAACTTTTTTTTGTTGTTGGTGGTATTTGGCAATCAAGATTTTTATTCTGTTTGGCTGTTGAACTTTTCTGCCATTTTTATTTGTTGCATTTAAATTTTGTATTACATGGTGAGTTCTTGATGAAAAATATGGCTGTTTTAAGGTTGTGTGATTCATTTGTTTCTTGTTTGGTTGGTTTAAGGTGATATGATCCATTTATTTTATTCTTTGATTGCATAATTTGCATAAAGTTCCAATCTTTGGTTCATAGCCTTTGTTGGGTTGGGAGAAAATCTTAAGTAAAAGAAACTGGAGTAAAATTTCAAGAATACTTCACCTTAAAGCTTTTCCCTTTCTGTTTCTTCTGTGAAAATCAGGGTGTGTCTTAGATTAGATCTATTGATCTTTTTCAAATGAATTCTAGATTTCCTATGTTGGTTTGGTTGATCAAATGTTTTTCTTTTTTAAATTCTTTTTTCTTAATTGTTCCTCCAATCTTTGTGTTGGGGTTATGGTAGTTCGAGCCCTGGGTATGGAAAAATTCTTGGTAGAGAGCGCTTCCCCCGAATGGGGTCCTACGTGGCGTGAATCTGGATATAGTCGGGCTCCAATGCGGGTACCGGACACCGGGTGGGAAACCAAAAAAAAAGTGTAGGGGTTATGGTGTGTTGGGATTTTTGAGGTGCTATCTGTGAGGGGTTTTAGCCCTTTAATTTCATTTAGATTTGTATAATTTACTTTACCTTCATGAGAAAATGGCTTCTTTCTTCCTCTATTCTTTTTCTTTTTCTTTTATTTAAAAAACCAACAGGCTTCTTTTCCTCCTCTACCTGAAATGGTTTAAGAGTTGGAAGTACGTTAACGCCTTTTTTTCTTTCAATCTAAACATATTTCTTTCTGTCATAATGAAGTTGAAAGTTTTTCTTGTAGCTCTGATCCAATGATTGTTGTTTCTTATGGTTTCTGAAACTGCGATACATTATGCATTTTCGAGAACTTACTTCTCCTTTGTGTATTTAATGCGTGGAATAGCTTGAACACGAAACTGGAGGAAATAGCTTTTTTTAAATTATGAAATCAAGATCAGAACTTTTCTTGTATTGTTTCAGCCCTCATAGTTAAAATTTTACAGTTTCAGTTGAAATTTACCTTTAGTTGAAAGGATATTGCGACAGTTGTAGGTATGATTAAAAATCTAAGATTGATCGACTTTCTTTGTGCTTTGATGCATTCTGTTGTGTTTCCTTTTTTGTTCCCTGATTTTCTTTATACCATTGTGCTTAACTTCCAGTACTTTTACCTCAATGTCTTGATTCATGATTTGTGATCTGGCAGGTTTTGTCTTTAGATTAGTTGGAATACTTGGCACGCTTGACCGATGATGTATAGATATAACGTTTTTATACTGTAAAGTTGATCAAAGGCTGCTGTGTTTTTTGAATGTTTAGTCCTATGGTTTCTGAGATATGGTGTTGCATAAGAGGTTAGATTATGGATTTAATGGCTATCAGGTCCCTCCTATTCCTCGAGCTACCAGATCAGCTAGGGTAATGTAACCTCACTTTTCCAATGAAATTATTTTGCCTTACACTATTTCGGCTTGATGTACTCATTCTAATCTTATTTCACTATCAATTTTTTAGGGAAGGGGCAATATTAGGAAGAAATCTGATGGCAATGAAATGTGTGCTTTTGACTTGTTGACTACCGTAGCTGGGAAGTTACTGCTGGAAGGAGAAAGCACTCCAAATTCTACTAACACCGTTAAAGAGGAGGAAGATACATCTTTAAAGGAAAATCTTTATAATGAAGGTATTCGAGAGCGGGGGTTCTTCATTTCTCCGATTGTCTCAGAAGCTCCTGTTGTAAATCATTGTTTAAGCAAATCGAAGGATACGTTATCTGGACAAGCATCTGTAATTACAAGTTCTGATTGCTCGGAGAAGTTGGATTCTGCAGAGCGATTCATAAATTGTGAAAGCAAAAATGAAACCGGGAACTGTTCTACTAAGGTTGAGCAGGAGGCATCTGGTTTTGGAGATTTTTCTAATTGTACATTAGGCGCTGAAAGTAAAAAGCAAATGAAAATTGATCTGTCAAATGATGCAAAGATTTTCAGTTCACAGTTTCCTGATCTTTGGGATAGGAAACCTACAAATCTTGTTGCTTCGGACAATACTGTAAAATTATCTCTTTCTACGGACCCTGTTCCTTTTGGGTCCTTTCCGGTGATCCGGAATGATGTAAAGTTAACTAACAAAGATGATGACGAAAATTCTTGTGGGTGCGCTCAACCGAGCACCAGAAATAAGGCCTTCAGGCCAACACCACGTGTAGGAAATTTTAGGACGAGGAAGTTAATCGACCTAAATCCTAAATTTGAAGATGCTGGTGAGTGTTTTTTTTATTCTTTATTTTTAGTTCTGACCTTCAGTTTTAACTTGCTGGAATTTGACATACTAGAATCTCTGCAGATAGTGAAACAAGGCATGTGTACAACAGGAAAAATGACTACAAGAGCGAAAGGTCTCAGAGAGATTTTCCTTTCAAGAAAAGAAAGCTCTATTATTGTAACTCGTTTTCTGATTCTGATGGAGGGAGTAGTGATAGAATATGTAGTTCTCCAACAAAAGACATAAATAGAGATGCCGCCGGTTATAGTCTAGCATCTTCAGGAGGTTTGTTGTTCTCTTCTGAAATCTTGCCTACACTAATAGACATGCACATTAATCATATTCGTTAATTGCTCACGTCGACTTTCTAACAGCCCGTGCAGCAGTTGGGACATCAATCTCCAGAGGCGCTCGTACATCTAGTGATTCCCATGGTGAGAAGGCGTTCTTTGGAATAATCAATGATTCTTTTGTATTCCAAGCTGTTTGTCATTTTGTAGAATTTCTTATTATGCAAAGATGTTTTTTCCTCAGTGAAGCTCAAGATCAAATCTTTCAGAGTTCCTGAGCTTTTTGTTGAGATTCCAGAAAATGCAACTGTTGGTTCTTTAAAGGCATGTACAAGCATTAATTCACAAAAATAAGGTTTTATTTTCAGTATTGCGGAAGTCTTGTTTTTTTCCAGATTCCAACACAGAAATTCACTCTTTATGCTTCTAATATTCTTCCGCAGAGGACCGTAATGGAAGCAGTGACTGCAATACTTGGTGGTGGGCTGCACATTGGTGTAGTTTTTCAGGGTAAGAAGGTTAGAGATGACAACAAGACCTTATTGCAGGCTGGAATTTCACATGATGACAAACTTGATGCTTTGGGTTTTACCCTGGAGCCTAATCCCTCTCGAGCTTCCTCAACTTCAGGTCCAGAAAGCCGTTCGCGTGTACTTCCTTGTGACACACTTCAACCACTAACCAGGTATTTCATATGCTCAATGAGCTCCAATTGGCGTTAGTTACATTGTGGTCTTAAGTTTCGGTCTTTCACTGGCTTAATTCGGTATTCAATTAGCTGTAGGATTGTGATTCTATGAGACTGGTGCTGCGTTCAGTTTACCAATGAGTTATATTTGCAAATGCATACATGTCGTAATTATGTAGTTAAAATCTCCAACTGCTTTCTATATCTGCTGTTGGTCGTTGTGGAAACTGCCAGGTGCTTATTGTGGAGTCTTTAATTTTTTTAATCCAAGTTGGAAACACGGTTAAATTTGTTAAGAGAACTTTTAATACTATTACTATTATTTATTTTCTTATTATTATTTTTATTATTTATATATATATTTTAACTTATTTTCATCACTACTATTATTTTATTTTGGCATGATGATGATATGAGTTGAGCAAAGAAGTGAGAATTCATATCGCCGACCCCAACTCTGTTTGGGACTGAGGCGTAGTTGTTGTTGGAAACACAGTCTTGCTAAGCCGGTACGTCTAGAATCAAAAGTGTTGATTATTTTGTCCTATACATCATGGCAGGGGCCCGCCTACTCCTACTGTAATTTGTAATGGCATACGACGGGGAACATATAGTGCCTTCTCAGATCATCCAGAACCAAATCTGAATAACTTCATTGAAAGCGATCATGATTCAGCTCCATCCCCTCCTGATGCCTCACTGGAGAAAGATGCTGCAGATTCAAGAGCATTGGTTCCGGTTGCTGCAGTGAATGCAGAAGCTTTGGCCGTAGTTCCAATGCGAAAGCACAAGCGATCTGAAACCGCACAACGTCGAATCCGCAGACCGTTTTCTGTTTATGAAGTGGAAGCACTTGTTCAAGCTGTTGAGAAGCTTGGAACTGGAAGGTATACTTATTAAAATTAACCACATCTCTGAACTGTGTAGAGCACACAGCAGCATAAATGAGTTATACGGAAATGCTGACTTTAACAATCTTGTGTCCCCTTTATGTAATTAACTTTATAGGTGGCGTGATGTCAAAATGCGAGCTTTTGATAATGCCAAACACAGAACCTATGTCGATTTAAAGGTACAAAACTGCAGTTCTCTTGCATCTCGACTACTCTTTTTTCCCACCAGTTTCTATCTTAGGCTCTCTACCCCTCGGGGTAGGGCCAAGGTCTGCGTACACACTACCCTACCAAACTCCACTAGTGGGATTTTACTGGTTCGTTGTTGTTGTTTCTATCTTAGGCTTCTTTTCTCACTTAGCTAGTTAACTTTTTTCACATTTAAAAATGTGAGTTGTGAGGAGTTTTGGGGCTCGGTCCACTTGGTTTCAGTCAAACCTCGACTTGACTCCGCTTTGCTTGGTCAAAGCTCGGGCTCAGTCGAGCTGGATTGATTAGTCGTGCAATTTTGTTTAGAAAATTAAGTTTGTTCCTTATGTTTATTAATCGCGTGATAGTTCGTGTTCACGATTCTTCAGGACAAATGGAAAACATTGGTGCACACAGCAAGAATATCTCCTCAACAAAGGAGAGGTGAGCCTGTGCCTCAGGAACTCCTTGATAGGGTCCTCATTGCTCATGGTTACTGGTCCCAAAAACAAGCTAAGCAACATATGAAACATCAATCCGAGACGCGTCTTTTGCTTTAAAGAAGGTTGTAAAGGATAAACTGGCTGCAGAAACTGGAGAAATATAAGTAATTAAGTAGATGGGGTTTGGAGAATTTTTTTGATTTGTTAATAATAATATTTTGTAAGTGTAAAGGTTATAACCAGGAAGTAAATTAGTTAAATTACATTTAGCAAGGAAGTTGGGGTTGGCACTTGTACCTGTTTGAAAATAAAGTGCTCGCTAACACAAATTTTGGTATGGGGGTTTTGTAATTTTGCTTAAATTGTTGTTTTTTTTTTTAACAAGATATTCTTATCTTGGCAATTGTAGTTTATTGTTCAATTTGTGTAATAGAAAGGGAGAAAATTGATCTAGTTGTTTTGTAACTATTAGCATTATAGCTCCTATAACCCTTGAATTTGAAGGAATTCAAGTAGGTGTGAGCAATCAATGTGAAAGTACTTGTAGATAGAAGTCGTTTGTCCATCGGTGGACTCATCCTGAATGCCGCCGTTTAGGCTCTCTAGTTAAGTCGGTTGTCCGCCGCCTTTCTTTTCCATCCTCGAGATGGCCATATAGTCAACTTTTATTCTGTTCCTCCAAAATGACCAATAAGGGCGGATAGACCGTCCACACAGTGCTGCTACCCACTTCTAGTTTAATTTGTGATATTAATTACTATTTTTATCAGCTACTAATTAATGTTTATTAGAAGTTAATTTGTGATATTAATTACTATTTTTATCCGCTACTAATTAATGTTTATTAGTATCTTTTGAGTGATTTGATTATGTATATATTTTCAACACCATCAATTTATTCAAGTAACTATTATAGCTTCGCCTTGTGTGGAGTCCCTTTAAAACGTGTTAAGTATATACCAATGAAAATGGACAGCTCTTATTTGAGAAATATTGATTAGGTTCTTATGGAATATGCTTTATAGATCATATAAAATTTGAATAGCATAATTAATAGATGCCAAGATATGTAAAGTAGGTCCTTCAAATTCAACATGGTGGTGGCCCTGATGGGCATCCTATTGAGCCATGTGAAAACAGAAAATAATTGCTCCTATTTTCACCTTTTTTTTTTTGTTTTGTTTTTCACCTGCTATTTAATTAATACATGTTTTGAGGTTTGACTAATTCAGATTCGTGTCGGAAGTCCTACTTAAAGGTAAAATATTTTTTATTGAAGATAATATTATATTCAAGACTCGAACCCGAAACTTCTGATTAATAATGAAGGAGCACTTATCATTCGACCCAATGTTTTGGATCTTTTTTAGTAAAAATAGCATGGGCTAGCCAGTTTTTGGACTGGTCATTCAAAATAGCTAGCATTTGCAAAGTCATTGAAAAAGAAAGTTCTAGCATAATATACTGGAGATCGGTGCACCTGTGTATGAACTTACATCATATTATGCTGGAACTCCAACACACAGAAAGTTTAAGTATATTATACTGGAAATTGGAGCACCGGTGCTCCAATGTCCAGTATATTATGCTGGACCGGTATATTATACTGGAGTATTTTTTCGGATTTTGAACAGTATTTTCGTTTAAATTTATCCTTATATAAAAAGTGGCTAAATTTCAATTACTTTTGAAACTGTGACTATTTTTAAATGACTGGATGTAAATTTAATTATTTTTGAATTTCTCCCTTTTTTTTACGATGAAAGTGACTATCAAGGAGTACTCCATTAGTTATCACATTCAAAGTTATCTATTCCTTTTTTCCTATTTTTGTTTAAAAGTGTTTCACCTTTAAATTGAAGATGACCAAAAACCAAAGCCTTTAACATAACTTTCACAAAAAGTATTTTTGTCTTATCTTTGCTTTTATGATAGTTGACTAAAATTTCTGATATTGAAAGTGACAATTATTAGGTTATTATATTTTCCTATAATCCGATATCTTTTATTTTTATTTTCAGAGCATATATTTGTCTTTTAAAATTGATCAATTAATTCTTGAAAAACTGAATACTGTAACATTTTAGTAGTTAAATGGGCAGAAAACACGAATGAAGTTACGTCACTCCCCTCCTCCTCTCTAATTTTTTATCCCAAAAAATGAAAAAAAAAAAAATGGAAGCAAAATGCAAAAAGAAAAGGACATCCGCAAGACAGAAAAAGGATGGAGATGGGATATATGTCATTTTCTATCATAAAATAGGATTAAAGAAAACATCTATCTTCAATCTTTAATTTTCGTCCACAAATAAATATACGTAAAGCTTGTACTCCACCTCTTCTTTATCTTTTCCTTCTAATTTTCCAATTTTTCCTCAGTTATCCATACACCATATATTTGCTACTAAATAATACGAAAGATACATCAAAAAAAGAAACATATATATATATATATATATGATGAGATACAGAATTTTTTTTTTTTTTTTTTAAGAAAACCACACATTCATCTGTTTTCTGTCGAGAACTTTGAAGCATTTGGTGTTGAGTTTCTTCTTCCTACTTAATTAGTAACAAATAAACAGAAATAGAACCAAACTCAGTTAAATGCATAAATAAATTAGAGGTATAAGGTTACAGTATTCATTTGAATCAATTCCTCAAATAGATAGCGAGTTTTTCCATACTTGGTTACAGATTTGAGCAATTAAAGACAAAATCTTTTGCCAAAATACCATAAAGATTTGGACTTAGGAGCAGGCTGACAAGAAATTTGAGTAAAAATAGCACGAGATAGCCAGTTTTCGGACTGGTCATTCAAAAATAGCTAGCGTTTGCAAAGTCATTGAAAAATAGCCACTATTTTGCTGCAACACAGAAAGTTCCAGCATAATATATTGGAGATCGGTGCACCTGTATATGAACTTCCAGCATATTATGCTGGAACTCCAACACGCGGAAAGTTCCAGTAAGATACTGGAATTGGAGTGTGCTCCAATCTCCAGTATATTATGCTGGACCGGATATTATACTGGAACTCCAGTATATTATATTGAAGTATTTTTCTGGATTTTGAACAGTGTTTTCGTTCAGGTTTATCTTTACATGAAAAATGACTAAATTTCGATTACTTTTGAAATTGTGGCTATTTATGAATGACCATTTGAAAATCTGGCTATTTTTGAATTTCTCCCGAAATTTGAAGGTAAGTAACTTAGGCCCAAATAAGAATCATTGTATGTTTTATAGGAATCTTTACACAAATAGCCGGTGAAATTTATTGTTTACTTTTTCTAACCGATATACATAGACTATACATTGATTATACATGATTTTCTAGCCGACGGAATCATTTGATTATAGATAATGTACACGCATTCTTCGGCATTTTTAATTTAAGCAATTAGGCGAACGGCTATATAGGTTAATTTATTTTTCTTCTTTATAAGGTCCAAAATTTTAAATGTATAAACCCATCAAAGTTGAAGTTCAATCAACCCTGAACTCACAGAGTATGAAAGAAGACTTCAAAACAGGAAAAAAAAAATAGTTGAGTTGGCTACTTTTTGGGCCGACTATTAGAGTTTAGTCAGATTTTCGCCAAAATTTCAAGGTATAATCAGTTTTCGGACCGGTTAATCAAAAATCGTTTACCAAGTCAATGAAAAATAGCCACCGCTTTGCTGCAATAGAGACCAGTCCAGCATAATATACTAGAGTTCGGTGCACTTGTGTATGAACTCCAGCATATTATGCTGGACCGGTATACTTTTGCTGGCTCCAGTATAATATATTGGAGACTGGAGCACTGGTGCTCCAAACTCCAGTATATTATACTGGACCATTATACTTGCTGGAACTCCAGTATATTATGCTGGAGTTCTAGTGTATTTATGCTGGAACTCCATCATATTATGCTGGAGTTCCAGCATACTATCCTGGAACTCCAGTATAATATGCTGGAGTTCAAGTATAGTTATACTGGAACTCCAGCATAATATACTGGAGTATTTTTCGGGTTTTGAACAGTGTTTTCGCTCAAATTTATCTTTACATAAAAAGTGGCTAAATTTCGATTACTTTTGAAATTGGGCTATTTTTGAACGACCAGTTATAAATCTGGCTATTTTTAAAAATCACCCAAAGTGGCCACTAATTCGATTAAATGAACGTTTCCGTCCCCAACTAAAACATGAAACACAACTCTAACAAATTGGTACTGAAGTTCGAAACCCGGGAACGCTTCCTGATTTTTTAGTCTTTACTAATGTAAAGTCCAGGAAAGATTCTTGGAGTTCAAAATAACTAGGTTCAAATCTTCATGGATGAAACAATATGACAAGGGGTCAAACCCTAGTAATCGTTGCTGGGTTTGAACCTATAAAGGTTTGAAATCCAATTATTGTTGAAGTCTGAATGTAAAAGAATTGTTTCATTGTACCTTTTTTGAACTCAAGGATAATATTTATAATTTCAGTTTGTGAAAGTTAGAATTTCATGATTGTGTCATGGAGTTCAAAATAAGGTATTTTTGGGTGAAACAATGTGGAAAGGATTCAAACCGCAATAATCATTATTGGGGTTTGAACTTCAGTATATTGTGCTAGAATTTTACCTTTAGAAGCTCCAAAGTCTGGGACAGTGTATTTGGGATTATACCTATAGAGAGTTTTTGGAACTCCCGTATATTATACTGGAGTTTTACTCGTAGAATGTTCGAAATCCAGTATCGATTATTGGAGTTCTTCCGTGTTTAGATTGTGGTATTTTAAGTGGTTACTTTACCAATACAATTGAAAAGACGATGAAACTCTAACAGCCGACTTAAAAAGTGACTATTTACCAATATTACACTTCAAAACATCACGACATAATACAATTAACTCTTCATAAAATAATTATTTTCGAGACCATGAAAGTATATTGTCGATGAATATATTATTTAATGGCAACGTATCCAATTCATTTTGTCAATTGGAGTGATAATTAATTTATACGTATACTTATGACGTCTTATGGTTAAATGAATTTTACTTACAAAAAAAGTTTAGTTTTTTTAGTAGAAACTTAAAAATACTCTTTAAACATGTTTTTCAAACTTTAAATTCTATACTTCAAGTTTAAAGTAGAAACTAGAAATACTGGAACCAATCGGGTAGCATAGATCATACTGCATATTTTATCTTGCAATACAAAAATCGAAAAAGGGCCATATTTTGCCCCTTAAGTATAAAGAAGTTATATTTACTCTCCGTTTCACCTTTTTAATGAACATTACCCTACCATTATATTTCAAATTTATTTTTACCCCCACCCGTTAAAACTCTTTTTCCGTCTTAAAAAAATCATGTGTCATGCTTTCATTGAAATAAAAGACCCGCCCCTTTTATAACTCTAAATCCGCCCGATCCAATCTTTTTTACCTGCATCCAACGAAAAAAATGTAATCTAGT